TAAAGTTTGGGTTAAACTGCTAAAATCATTAAAACTAAAATTGAAATAAAAATAAAATAAAGCTAAATATAATTTTTTTTTTAAACTAATAAAAATTACAAAAGCACATAAAATTACTAAAGCTTAAAATGAAAACTGAAAATATAAAAATAATTGCTAATACAAAATATTAATAAATATTAATATAGTATGTGAATAACTAACATAACACTGTCTCTTACACCTGCATGTGTGAATTTGTTTATCGTGCATGTTTGTGTGTTTACCGTCACTCTTGCCCTCCTGCACAGGATAAGAGTTATAGAACAGTCCCTTTCCATCGTGAGTCCAGGACATGCAGGTGAATTTGACCCTCTCCAGTCGGTCCTCTAGAGGTACAGCGCCGTCCACGCGCAAGAACCGGATCTCAACCCAGTCGGAGCCGCTCGCGCTGGTGCCGTACGCCAGGTACTCGCCATCCTCAGAGAACGCATAACCTGAGAATAAGCTACAAGCCTTAGCTGACAGTCATTACAGCGATATCACTGCAGAAAGAGATGTCACACACTGCGTCAAACAAACAGATACTTCCAGCACCTTGTAAAGCAACCGTCCCGTCCTCTGAGAAGGTGTTTGGGTCCAGGAACACGCTGGGCTTTGACTCAAGGTTTTCCTGCATGTACAAAACGCTCTGGTTCTGCAGACCAGTGTTGTAAAAGTGAAAATACCTATGAGAGGGAGAAAAAACAGTGTTTGTTAGGGCAGAACTTCAGAAAATATACACGCATACACTACCTGTCAACAGTTTGGAATAATTAAGATTTTTTTATCTGTTTAAAAGAAGTCTCTTCTGCTCACTAAGGCTGCATTTTGTGATAAAAAAAAATACAGCAAAAACAGTAATATTGTGAAATAGTATTACCAAAATAACTGTTTTCAAAGTGAATATATTTTAAAATGTAATTTATTCCTGTGATGCAAAGCTGAATTTTTTTAGAATTGCGTGGAAAAACAGTATGTCCAGCTATAGACAGGCTCTAAAAGCTGCCAGGGCCGAGCATATCCACAAACTCATAGAAAATAACCAAAACAATCCAAGGTTTTTATTTAGCACAGTGGCTAGATTAACAAATAACCAGAAGCCACCCGATCTAAATATTCCCTCACAGTTTAATAGTAATAACTTTATGAATTTCTTCACTGATAAAATAGATAACATCAGAAATACAATAACAAATGTAGATTCTACAGCATATAATACTTCAGCTTCATTCATCGCACCAAAAGATAAACTGCAGTGCTTTACAATTATAGGACAGGAAGAGCTAAATAAACATATCACTGCATCTAAACCAACAACATGCCTGTTAAATCCTGTACCCACTAAATTACTGAAAGAGTTGTTACCTGTAGCAGAAGAACCACTTCTCAATATTATTAACTCGTCATTGTCTTTAGGTCACGTCCCAAAACCATTCAAGCTGGCGGTTATTAAGTAAACAAGCTACAGGTAGTCCAAATGCCCATCTCACCTGTTCCCGCGTTTGAAGGGGCAGCTGTATTTAGGGTAGTCATAGAGTTCAGTCATACGATCCTTAAAGATGTCTCTAATCTCACACTGCTCCAGGAACGGTAGGGTCAGCTGATTCTGAGCATTCACAAACGCCTGGCGGACATATAGAGCCACACACAAGTCTCAAATATATAGAGTCATAAGTCACATGCTCTTTCAGAGGAGGGTGGCGAGTTGTTGTGTGGAGATCACCTGTGTTTTTTCACTGTCAGGATCCTCCAGCCAGCTGTACGGGTCAGGAACTTTACAGCCATGATAGTCATCCACCTGATAACACATATACACATGCATCACATGAGCGGTGAGGTCACCACAGCAACATGATTACATCACAGTACAGGTGGAAGTTGGAACATTGCTTCAACCAATGCTGTGGGTTTGGGGCGGGACTTTCTGTCCAATGGCAGACAGGAAGTGTGTTTTGGAAACCAGTTTGCTTTGCTATTCCATTTGACATAACGCTTAAATGTATTTTTTTAATGATGATCAATTTCTTTCAAGAACACAAACAAGCATGTCTCAGAGATTACAAATGTAGTATATATATATATATATACGTGAGCTCTCAAACAATCAGTTACCGAGCTCCGCAAGGACCACCTCACTCATTTCCATGATGCACACGGAAAAGTAAAAAGAAATAAATGAATAAATCTGGAAACAAATAGATGTGGGAATAAATAAATATAAAAAAAATAAATAAATGCATGAATAAATACATTTAAAAATAAATAAATACATAAATATAAAATAAATGAAAGAATAAATAAATAAAAGTTAAAAAGAATACAAATAATACATAAAGGAAAAAAGTCATTAAAAAATTTAATTCAGGATTAAATTTTATTACAAATGAACTATATTTGTTTTATCAAGTCATTTATTTCTTTATTTTCCTATTATTACATTTATTTATTTATCTATTTATTTATTTTTAATTTTAATACACACAATCGCTAAAGAAATATTTTGAGAATTTCTCAGGTAAACAACCAGGACCTCTATTGATTTCTTTCTTTCTTTTTTATCCATTAATTCAGTCTCTCATGGATCCATTTACTTATTCATCCTTCTATTTTCATTCATTAATTCTCTCATGGGTTCATTTATAACTTCACTCATTCATTTATTTATTTATTCATCCCTCCATTTGTCACTAATGCAGCCATAGATTCGGAATTAGTGCTCATTTTTGTATTTTCTGTGTTAATTTACATTTTAGTTCAAGTACGCCCATAGAGTTTTTATTAATATTTATCTGCATTTTTCAGCTTTAGTTGTAGTTATTTTAATACATCAAGTTCAACTACATGAAAATGCGAAAATCATGCTTTCATTTATTCTTTCAGCCATTCATTCATACATTCATCTGTTTACTTATTTCATCTCTCATTCATTCATCTGTATCTGTTCTCATTCATCCTTCCATCTATTCATTCATGTCCTCTTTCTCTCTATCATTCAGTCACTCACCACTGATTCGTCCCTATAGGTGTTTGGATACTGGAAAGCCATTATTCAGAGATCTTCAGAGCTGTTGAACAGATGAAATAATGATAAGACGAAATGAACTGAGACAAGTGTTGGAGAGTTTAGTGTGTTGGAGAACCGCAGCACAATGTCCGGAATCAACAGTCAAAGACTCCGTACAAAGACAAACGCGCTGCTGGAAAGAGCGCTGAATTCACAACAGCGCCCTCTGCTGGTAGACACAAAAACACGCCGGGCCGCGATCACGCATGATGAATATGAATTAGGTTCTGCTTTTATTCTGATTTATTCTCTGTTTATTCTTTATGTCTATCTACCCCCCGCAATTTTTTCTCTTCTTCTGTGTACTCACTGCGCTGCGCTCATGTACACAAAAAACGACATAAATTACGGCCTGTTTATCACATGAGTACAAAATAATACGAAAGACTTGAAATATATGAAATAACGTGCAGGAATCATATCGGCTTCATATCTATCTATCTATCTATCTATCATCTATCTATCATCTATCTATCTATCTATCATCTATCTATCCATCTATCTATCATCTATCTATACATTCATTCATACATTTATAAAGCCATTTTTCTATTCTTAAAATATTTTGTTCTTGCAACACAGATATTAAACAGAAAATATCATAAACAAAAGTTATTTAACTTTAAAGTCGAACGTTAATTAAGTTTGTGTCTTCTTCATCAGAAAAAATATATAAAAATGAAAATGAAAATGCTGAAAACGAACATAGCTGCCAATACAGGATTCTGTTTTATTTGTATAAACTGAATTACAGGTTTTCTCAGTCGCTTTGGTACATTTCTTGTATCATTCTTAATATTTGCAAACCAGTATGTGCATTTCTCAAAACAATTAATCCAAACAGCACCGCACAATGGATTACCTGCAAAAGCCTGCAACTTGCTCAAAAGTATTTATGTCAATGTAAGTGTAAAAGTAAGTATTTATGTCAATGAACATATCAGTGCCTTGTATCATTGAGCATGAATAAGATAGTCAAAATGCTTAGTCATGTTTTGATGGCAGATTGAAAATTCATCAATATCAATAGTACAAATGTACACATTACTGTATGTGTGTATCTGTATAAAGTATATTTACTGTATAATGTAAAATATAATTGGACTACTGTAATATGATGCATTACAGTAAGTATAAAATATTACAATATAGTGCACATTGTTTAGTTAGATTACATGCTGTCTACAAATGTTTGAATGATTGAGGACACAGTTGTTCTCCCAATATTCGGCTGCATCTAGTGGCCCTATTTTCAAGGGAAATGTGGCTACATCCTTGGCTTCTTCTACCTCTTTGTCTTTTGGATCTAGTTGACCACTGGTTGATTTAACATCTTACATTCCTTGTCATTAGTAAGATTCACCTGCACAATTCATCAATTCAGAACGCATTTACCAAAAAAAATAAATAAATAAATAAAATAGAAATGAACGGAAAATATGCTGCTTGACAGATTATGACAACTATACCTATTCAACAGAGGACCAGTATAATATAATATATTAATATATTTTATTTTTATAATAAGCATTTAATGTAGGAAACAGCAGGCAATTGTACATAATCAACTGCATGAACGTACAAAAGCATTTGCAATTTGTTCAAAAGAATGAGAAATTGCTTTTATGATGTGCACAAGTGACTAGATGATGTGAAGATTGAATTTCGTACCAAAGCGACTGAGAACAAAATGGTGTGAGGTATTCTTATTGTTCAGCACTGATTATGAGAAACAATATGAACAGATATCAAAACCTCTGAGATGTCATATAGAGACCATGTGAGATTCTGTGAAATGCACATTCAAAGAGAGGAAAAGAGAAAGACTCAAAGGGGTGGAGGAAGACATCAGGGTGGAGTTTGTCTTCTGATGATGTCTGAATGAAAACGCAAGCTTCTACACATTCAAGAGAAACAGAGACGGAGAGCTTGACTGCAACCTCCTCATGCAGACGGCTGGAGAGAAACTCACTGACTCAACATAAGCCACAGTGAGTGCTTTTTACTCTATTTGAACATGCATTTGGTCTGTAGGGTATGGTGTGTGTGAACCAGCTGAAGCTCAGTCTGAAGGAAACCTCCTCAGGTCAGATGCTGAGTGTGTGTGTTGTGGTTGCAGCTCTGTGCGTGAGCAAGAACTGCTCTGGTATTGAGTTTCATTTTTACTGCTTTGTTAATCTGAATTCTCACATCAGCCTGAAATGTTGTGGACCTGTTAAACATGTGCTTTTAATCTGATTGGAATAAAAAAGGTCAGTAAAAATGATTACATTCCCAAGTAGTTTCTCATTTGCAGCTCAGGAGACTTACTTATGTTTCATAGAATTATCAACTTTGTCATTGATGCCTCTAAAACTCCTTAGAAGAATAAAATATACAAATGAGACATTTGTTGGCATTCGGTACAGTAAAAGTATAGGGCCATAAAATAAGTGTACTGTAGATCAGCTCAGGTTTTTTTTGCAAAGTTTGAGACGTTGAAAAATCTGCATTCGATCTTCATTTTGATAAAGAGATCTCATTTATGTTTTGCCTTTTCAATTTTTCATTTTGTCAAGTGACTCCTCAGTTAATAATAATTCATAATTAAAGGAATGGTTCACCCAAAAATGCAAATTTACTGAAAATTTCCTCACCCTCAGGCCATCCAAGATGTAGATGAGTTTGTTTCTTCATCAGATTTGGAGAAATGTAGCATTCCATCACTTGCTCAGCAATGGATCCTCTGCAGTGAATGGGTGCCGTCAGAATGAGAGTCCAAAAACATCACAATAATCCACAAGTAATCCACACCACTCCAGTCCATCAGTTAACATCTTGTAAAGTGAAAAGCTGTGTGTTTGTAAGAAACAAATCCATTATTAAGGTTTTTTTTACATCAAGCGAGAAATATGCACAGATCAAGCACTGTTTACCAGCAATAACAGTCCACAACAGTTCTAAACATATTTTGGTGGGTTTTGATGTGAGTGGAAAACAGAGGATGGACTTTTTCACTGGAGAAAGCAGTGTTATGTATAGAGAACCAGAAGCAATGGTTTAAAGTGAGAAACACCTTAATGATGGATTTGTTTCTTACAAACACACAGCTTTTGACTTCACAAGATGTTAACTGATGAACTGGAGTGGTGTGGATTACTTGTGGATTATTGTGATGTTTTTGGACTCTCATTCTGACG